TTTTCGTTTTCAATCTCATAAATGGTTTATAATGACTTTCGCTAAAATTTCAAAATCAAAAGTGACTAAGAAATATTATTTTCTAATTTTTAGTCCATTTATTAAAGCGTTGTATATTAAAAAGTTTTTATTTTTATTTTTTTCACAATAAGTATCTCTGGAAGTGTTCATGGTAGTTTAACTTAGTTTAGCCATTTTTTTAGACTTAGTCAAGAATATGCAGTGTTAAAAGTAGGCTAACATTTGACTTCAATTTATTTGTTACAAATATTTGTACAACTAAGACACTGCAGTCTTTTATATGCACATCAACTAATATTTAAAATCTTACTATAACAAATTACAATAAAATTTGCACTTAAGTCCAAAAAAAATGCTAAACTAAGTTAAGTTGAGTTGGAGAAACCAGCCCTATGTATGTATATGAAATCAATCGCATACTCTTGAGAAAAATTGGTGAAATTTTTGAACTTAGTACGGAAATATATGAAATCAATCACATACTCATGGAGAAAAATTGGAGTAATTGGAAAAGGAGCGGGGCACCTCATATACAAACCGAATTTTTCATACTGTATATCTCTGGAAATATTCATGGTAGAGTTTTGGAACTTGGTATGGAGATACTATATATATGCAATCAATCGCATACTCTTGAGAATAATTGGGGCCATTGTACAAGGAGCGTGGGACCTCGCATACAGTACAAATTTTTCATACTGCCTATCTCTGGAAGTGTTCATGGTACAGCAGTGGAGCTGGGTATGGAGATACATATATGAAATCATTCGCATACTCATGAAAAAAAAATTCGGACTATTTGAAAAGGGAGCGTGGCACCTCCCTTATAAAATGAATTTTTCATAATAAGTATCTCTGGAAGTGTGTATGGTAGAGTACTGGAACTTTATACCGACGTGGCAACTCCCATACAAGTCGGGTTTTTCTTATTGCATATCTGTAGAATTGTACTTGGTAGAGTACTAGAACTTGGTGTGGAGATATATGAAATTAATCGCATTGTCATGGAGAAACAAGTAAGAGCAGCGCAGTCTTCGGCTATGCCGAAGGCTTCATACCTTTCATGAACATCTGCAAATTTTACTTTGACAGATTACTGCTTTTGAATACATCTGCATACATCGATAGAGGAGTTACATACTTATATAAAAAATCGCATCTAAACAATCAGAGGTATGGAAGATATACTTTATATG